TAAATTGAGTGCATAATCAACTACGATCTGTGCATAAAATGGTGAAACGATGTAGGTTTAACGCCTTCGCCAACACTATTAAGTTATTTAAGAGGCGGCACCTCTCTACTATCTGTTCATTACTGACATCTCTGAAATCTATTCACCAACATTCGCTATTGACGTCTCTACAATCTGTTTACCAACATTCATTACTGACGTCTTTACAATTTGTTAACTTACATTTACTATTGGCGTCTATACAATCCGTTCGCTATTGATGTCTTTACAATTTATTCTCCGACATTTACTGTTGCCATGTGTACAATGTGTTCACCATCATTCACTACTGATGTCTTTACAATCCGTTGATTGTCGACGTCCTTACGATCTGTTCACCTTTGAAATCTGTCCTGCTCTCTTCACCTCTGATACCTTTACGTCAAAGTTAAGAAGTAGCCCGGTAGCAAACCCGCTCGTGCTCGCAAGCCCCTAGTTCAAATCACAAGCCTCAAATCACTAGGTCAAATAATCAAATCAAATCACCAGCATGATAAGTTGAGTCTAGCGCAAACTGTAACCTCCTTGGTCTTGTCTAAACTTCAAGTCCACAGCAACTAGCAATCCGCGAAGCCACTCGTGTCAGACCCCCTCATCATCCCCACCCTGCTTGCAATCCGCGAAGCCACTTACGTCAGAAAAAGAGAGGGGGAGAGTGAGAGATCCCGCCCACTGTGTCACTGCGCGGCGTGGCGCTGTAGTTTGCTCGATTAATCGAAGGCTTGCGCAAAGCAGCGGACAGCCTTCAAGCATCAAATCCCGTCCGCAGCCACAAGTCCCACGATTCACACAGTACTGCTTTGCACTAGGCCTAGAGATTTGTCCCAGGACAAGCTCGAAACCTGACCTGCTGACTTGTGCTGTCTCGCTGTAGGAGCGAGCGGGAGGCTACAGGACCGCTCGATGGCGGCAAGACCGCTCGATGTGTTCAAACAGCAGTACCGCTCGCTGTGTGAACTTTGAACCGTGGAGGAAGGGAGAGGCTGGGCTTGTTTTGGTGCAAGACGTAGAGAGCTGAAGTTATTTTTAACTTCCCGCTGTTGATCAGCTAAGCGAGTGGATAAGTGAGAGAAAGCGTGATATTGTAGTAACAGAGACCTAGGTTTCTGGTAGTAATAAGAAAAAGTAGACTTAGATTACTCTAGAATGGAAAACTCCAGGGGTCGTTGTGATTGGCTTTGGTATCGTATGTATGTAACCTATTTTGTAGATGTGTTACACTGTGTTCGTGTGTGTGTGTGTGTGTGTGTGTGTGTG